GACCTCAAGAATATTGAGCCCAAAAATTCAAAGAGAGTGTCGCGAAAAGCGCACGACTTGTTGGACACGAGTGTTTCGTCTGTCAATTCGGCCAAAAAAGCTAAACCTAAGACCAGTGGTTCCGCCGCCGCCGCGAAGACCACCCCTAAGGCCAACGCAAACACTCCCAAAGTGAAGGATAGCGGCGTTGCCGTCGAGGCGGAGGCTGTGGCGCCGCCGCCGCCCAAAAAGACTACGGAAGTGATGCGAGCGTTGGCCGACAGTACCGACGACGGAGAGTCCGGTGCGTCCAAAGCGACGAAACCGATGGTTACGCCGAAACGCAAGCCCAGAGCCAACTCGACGTCTGAGCCGTCGTCGGCGAGCAAACGGCTCAAAACAAACGGCGATCACTCGCTGACGGCGGCCGACGGCGTGGCCTTAGAAGTGGCCGAGAATGCGGTCCTTCAGCTTCTGTCCTCATCCCAACCGTTAACGGTATTGTGTTTTGTCTTATTTTGTTTCATTTGATTTAATTACTGATGTGTCGACTCTTGTGTCCAATTGTTTGCTCGCGTATTAAAGCCTCAAAGAAAATCATCTCAAGAATCGCTGTCCAACGGTGTGGACAACAAACCCGTCGTCGTCGTCGACAAACCCGACGACTCTGTGCTTATGGACGACTTGTCGCCCAACGAACTCATTATTGTCGAAGATGTGAGTAAAAAGTCATGTGTTTTGTGGTAACAATTAACGCAAATTTGTCTGTTTTTTTTGGATCAATTCCTCGACAACGACAGGACGACAATAGCCAACTTAACCAACTGAGCCAACTCAGCTGCTGGTTACCGCCGTTGATACTCGGGCTCACGTCGTTGAGTACACTATAATAACGCCTGTTATTCCAGTGGTAAATTAGTGTTAACAAATACTTAGAAATCGCAATCATTTATCTTAATCTTTAATTATTATCTCGTTTTTAAATTTCTAATTATTTCTAATTATTATTATTATTATTACTAAATTATTACTATTAGTAAATCATTAATGGTTAAAATTCATAATTAATATAATCAAGACGTGTTGTGTTACTACTTATAGAAAACATTTAATATATAAAATTACAAAACATATTATAATTAATAATAATTGTAATAAAAACTGAGCGAATCATTACATTTTCAACCCCTCTCTCACTATACTCTCAATTACACTCACACTCTGTATATCTCCCGCACAGAAGTCTATGTTTTGTTTATTTTGCGACCAATCGTTTGCGGACAGACAGGACGCCACCGCCCACTATGTCATACACATGTGTCCACTCAAGTGTGTCAAGTGCTGCAAACTCTTCGCCACATACGACCAGTACCTGAAACACGGCATAGTACTGGTTAAGTATAGCGCCGCCGCAAAAATGCTTAACCGGTTTGCCTTCCCGTCGGAACTGTAGGGACACCAGCCATGGAAACTCGTGGGGCTCCGCGTCTTCACCTACAGGTGTGCCACAAACGCAACAACAATTTTTTAAAAACAAACAAGGTACAAATACAGTAGTAACAATAAAATAATCCATGTAATATTAAATTGTATTGACTAACCGCCGACAATCCTTCCCATACCAACTGTGCCCAAAAGCGATGATTTGCGGCCGTCATTATACCTGAGACCGCAATGAGACGGCGATATGCTATCAAACATCCCGCTAAACGATTTGACAGCTTTATTGCCTGAAGACTTGCTACGACTACCGCCGGCGCCGCCACGAGAAGGCTTGCCTGCGGACGAAAAGGCACGTACGGCCGACGGCGACGACTCGTCACCGCTGGGCGGGGACTTCCGGCGATGGGAATGCCGGCGATGAGATTCTTCGGGTTCGGACGACTCCCGGCGATGGGAATGCTGGCGATGAGACTCGGGTTCGGCTTCGGGTTCGGCCGACTCCCGGCTCTGAGACTCTTCGGGTTCGGCCGACTCTCGGCGAAAGCCCTGTTCGCACTCCCGGACACATTGAGGCACATAAAAGCATAGGTGATTGCAGTCGTTGATGGCGTGCGTGTACTTCACCGACAACTGGCCGTTAATTAATGTTAGACATTGAAAGCAAACAATTACTGCCACTAATGTCCGTAATATAAGCCACATATTTCCTAATCAATTCACAGACATATGGTTTGTGAAATTGTTTTTCATTTTGTTTTTTGGTTAAAAACATTGCGTTTAATTAAGTTTTAATTAATTTTTAATTAATAGTTTTGTAACTTTTTATGTAACATTTAATAAGAGTTCTGTCAATAAGTTTTAGCTATTGTTTCATTGAATTAATATACAAAAGTTGTAGTATTTTTAACTTTACAATTCATTGAGTTATAATAGACTATAATAAAACAAATTTAAAACATAATTACAACTAAATTTACGCCATATTTATTGATCATGGTAAATTATTAGGCAATTGAAGTTTTACACAGTTTAGTTGACACAATCACTTATTTCAATGCTATAAATAACTCGCTTAACAACAGATCTAAACTTATAACAAAACATGATCATTAAAAAACACCCAGGTGTTATAATAACGCGGTGAAAGGTAGAGATTGTGCAAACCCTGGGGGGGAGGAGGTGTCCGAAACTGGGACCCCCTATGGGGAGGGGTATAAAACACAGTGAATGTAAGTTTACGTAACGTAATGTGTGAACGGATGTGCGGTTTTGAGATTCAGTGCATGGCTTTCAACGCGTAAACACTGTTTACAACACAATCGCCAAACAAAACATCACTTTTGAAACATTAATTATAATTGCATTTTAATTAATTAATCCCATTGTCTGTCGCCTCCAGTGTTGGCCACAGATCGCCCTCAAGGCGCGCATCACCGCGGGATCCGATGACAAGTGTCTGGTTGTGAGTGAGAGGTGTTGTGACAGGAGTTGAGTTGTCGTTTGGTTTTTGCGTTTCACTCAAAAACTCGTCTCACGTTTTCATTGCAAACGATGGCTAATAATAAAGTAATTATCCATTCATTGTCTTTCATTCACCACTCATTTGATCCATTGTTTTCACAACTCATGACTCGCTCTCGATGTTGTGTAGGACTTCTCGGACGCGAACTTCACCATCAAATGCAAGCATTTGTGGCACACGTCCCAAATCTATTGTCTCACGTTTGACAGAAGCGGTCGATACATATTCACGGTTAGCATCGGTTCCCACTCACACACACACCCCGAAGACCACACACACCACATGTCTTGTTGTTGCGGTGATTACTAATTGTATCATTGATTTGATGGATAGGGCGGCGACGACGGTCTCGTCAAAGTGTACTCCACGCGCACCGACCGACTCGTCCGGTGTCTGTCCGACGGCACCGAACGCGAGTTCGTCGACGAATTGGTCAGCGTTTGTCAGTCGATAGACTTCGAGGACGAAAATCTGGAGATCAATCTCGAGTCGGAGACCGAGAAGTTCGCCATTCAGGACATCGCCGTTAACTACGAGAACACATTGATAGCCGCCGCTAAATATACGGGTAAAGTGTGCCACACATGCGCTCACCCGCACACACCTATCGGCTCTTCGCGGCCACCCGTTTGACACAACAGTCATTGACACTCATTTTTGGCCACAATTTGATCCCAATTTTTAGGTTCAATTCCGGTCTGGAATCTCAACACTTTCGAGTGTGTCATCAAACTGGAGGAACAGGTGTTCCCGATCCGGTCCATCCGGTTCTCGCCGTTTGCCTTCGCCCCGAACCGCAAGTACTTGATCTCCACGTCGACCGACGGTTTCGTCTACTTCTACGCCTACAACGACCGGACGTTTGAGTTCACGCCGAAGTCCGTCCACCGGAAGACCAAATACGACGGCGACCGAGCGGTGAGCATCTGCGGCGACGTGTCCACCGGCGGTCTCCTCTACGGCATTGTCCACACGTTTGGCATTCCGGTGGAGGAGTCGATGCGGCCGTTGTCGAAGAGGACGCCGCTGAGTCCGAAGGACATCCAATCGGCCGTTCGTATTATCAATTTGGCCGACGATTCCCAGAAAGAGGAGTGGAAATACGTTCAACACAAGACACACGCCGAGTGCGAGTACTCCTTCCGCTTCTGTCACAACAGTTTCCGGTTTATAAAAGAGTTTTATTTTTGCGGATCAATTGTAACCTTTGTTTTTGCCATTTGGTTGAAGGTTTGCCACCGGATGTGATAAAGACTCCAATGCCTTCATATGGACTTTCGATAAGGGAAACAAGAAATGGGATTCAATAATCATTGATATCAACGCCAAAGGGAATAAGAAGATATTGAGAGGTATTACTTGTCACCAATTGTTCCCGTTTTGTGTTTCATATCATATTTGAATTTAAAGGCAAATCGAAACAATCGATCACCGAATCGGTATATGTCGATGAATTCATCTTCAGCTGTGATGACAAGTATCTGATTATGTCTTTGACGGACAACTCGATCAAAGTGTGGAACGCGGAGTCGGGAGAACTGGTCCGACATTTTGAAAATTTGCATACAAACAAGATTTCGGTCATTGAATATCACCCAAAGTTGGACCACATTTGCCTCTCAGCCGGTTATGACTCCCGTGTCTTCGTCTACGATATACTCAAAGGCGTTGTCGTCCGACAAGTAATCAATTGGTTAAACATTTTATGCTTTAATTGAGATTTTAATTGTATTGCATTTTATTGTGCACTCAGTTTGACTGCAATGTAGGCGTCAATCGATTGCAATCCGAGAGTCCGTCGAAGTCGTCGAAGACATTTGACTTGATTCTACCGCTTCTACTGCAGTGTCAGTTCAGTCCCGACGGCCTGACGATCGCCGCCACCGATAACTTGGGTAATATGACAGTCTTCACCAGCGATGACGCCGTCGCCCAACAGTCCGATACCATGGATCAGTTCGAGGCCGAACTCTTGCGCATACATTCCGAGAGCGAGAACTCTAGCGATAGTCAATCGGCCGCCGAAGTGGTGCCCGCGGCCACCGATAAGGACATGAGTTACTATTACGCCATCTTTGAGTTCGAGTTGGATCTGCTTCGGGGCGTCGAGAAGCCATCGCCGGTAAGTGTTTTGCGGGAATTGTTTGTATGATTTTCAATTGTCTTTAACTTTGTTTTTATTATTCTTCTGGTGTTTAAGGCAAAGCTCAAGAGCGAAGACAAGACTATCGACGAAAAAGACAATAAAGTGATCAAAACGTTGACAATGAAGAGTGAGACCAAAGCTGTGGGCGACGCGAAGCCAAAATCAGTGGCCAGCCGTTCGCCGGCCAAACCTGTAGCTAAGACGACACCGCGACCGGTGCTCCAGAAGTCAAATCCAAAGTTAAACGCTGTGAAGAGATCGGCAAAGAGTCCTCAGAAGGCTATCAAACGGACCGTCGCGGCCAAGAGTTCCCCGAAAGAGGCCAAACCGAGTGGTAGTACGACTACTACTCCGATGACTGGCAAACCACTCAAAGAGGAGTGCAAACGCATTTTGGACGACATCTTCGAGAACCCGAACTCAATACCATTCCAGATGAACGATCACATCAAATACCCGGACTATCGCAAAGAGATCGTCGACGCGGACCTATCGCTGAGCTCTATTCGCGTGGATCTGATGGAAGGCCGCATGAAAGTCAGTGGATTCAACTCACATATGAACGCTGTCTTCGAGAACGCGAAGACATTCTACCGGAAGCGCGAGGAAGAGGTCTACGATATGGCCGTCGCTCTCGAGGAATACTACTGCAAGAAAATGGCCGACAAGTTTGGCGACGCGTTCAAAGCGCCCAAACCNGGATTCAACTCACATATGAACGCTGTCTTCGAGAACGCGAAGACATTCTACCGGAAGCGCGAGGAAGAGGTCTACGATATGGCCGTCGCTCTCGAGGAATACTACTGCAAGAAAATGGCCGACAAGTTTGGCGACGCGTTCAAAGCGCCCAAACCTGTGGAGGACAGCGACGACGAGGACGAAGAAGTGGAGTGTACTGATAGTGATCTCGAATCTCCGGCCAACGCGACTGAAATGGCCCCCAAAGTGATTGAAACGTGGGTTAAAGTGGACGACACGTCGGCCAAAGAGGTCGAAGCGCTGACCAAAGTTGACGAAATGACCGCCAAAACGGGTAAAGCGAGTAAAACACTGGCCGACAAAGTGGTTGAAAAGCCGGCCAAAGAGGTTAAAGCGATCGCCAAAAAGATTAAAACGCCGGCCAAAGCTGTAGCCGAGAGTTCGGTTAAAGCTGTAGTCGAGAGTCCGACCAAAGCGGCCGTCAGTTTACGGGCGAAATCGCCGCGTAAAGTGTCGCGTGATATCGAACTTAATGATAGCCCGCGGCCGAAGAGTAGTGTTCCCAATGATCTGAAGTGTATGGTCTCCGACCTCAAGAATATTGAGCCCAAAAATTCAAAGAGAGTGTCGCGAAAAGCGCACGACTTGTTGGACACGAGTGTTTCGTCTGTCAATTCGGCCAAAAAAGCTAAACCTAAGACCAGTGGTTCCGCCGTTCGAGAACGCGAAGACATTCTACCGGAAGCGCGAGGAAGAGGTCTACGATATGGCCGTCGCTCTCGAGGAATACTACTGCAAGAAAATGGCCGACAAGTTTGGCGACGCGTTCAAAGCGCCCAAACCGGTGGCGGACAGCGACGACGAGGACGAAGAAGTGGAGTGTACTGATAGTGATCTCGAATCTCCGGCCAACGCGACTGAAACGGCCCCCAAAGTGATTGAAACGTGGGTTAAAGTGGACGACACGTCGGCCAAAGAGGTCGAAGCGCTGACCAAAGTTGACGAAACGAGCGCCAAAACGGGTAAAGCGAGTAAAACACTGGCCGACAAAGTGATTGAAAAGCCGGCCAAAGAGGTTAAAGCGATCGCCAAAAAGTTTAAAACTCCGGCCAAAGCTGTAGCCGAGAGTCCGGCCAAAGCGGCCGTGAGTTTACGGGCGAAATCGCCGCGTAAAGTGTCGCGTGATATCGAGCTTAATGATAGCCCGCGGCCGAAGAGTACTGTTCCCAATGATCTGAAGTGTATGGTCTCTGACCTCAAGAATATTGAGCCCAAAAATTCAAAGAGAGTGTCGCGAAAAGCGCACGACTTGTTGGACACGAGTGTTTCGTCTGTCAATTCGGCCAAAAAAGCTAAACCTAAGACCAGTGGTTCCGCCG